GTCGAGCTGTTGTTCACCATCTTAGCTGTAGAGGGCAGTGTCACTGGCCCTCATGTGGGATCCGAACCGGGGCCCTGCTGCTCAGAGCTGGTGTCCAAAGCCAACTCCTAACCAATGCGCCACTCGGCCGGCCCTCTGCCAACATTCTTATCTTTGTATAACCTCTTTGCATAATTTTGTATATCCTTTTTACGTAATGTACATTTTATTCTGCCTGGTTTAAGTTTTTTCTTTTTATCAGTAGTTTTAAGCAATTTGATTATGGTTGTGCCTTGGGATAATTTTTGTCATGTTTCTTTCTGTGTGTGAGGTTAATTTAGTTTCTCAGATCTTTGGGTTTCTTTTTTCTGTCTTTCCCTTTACTACACTTTGGGGACTCTGATTACATGTATATTGGACTGCTTGAAGTCGTTTCACTGATGCTTGTTAATTGGTTTTTTTTTTAGTCTTCTCTGTCATTTTGGATAGTTTTTATTGCTATGTCATCAAATTCACTAATCTCCTGCATTGTCTAATCTGTGCTGTTAATTCTATCCAGTGTATTTTTCATTTCAGACCTTATAGTTTTCATATCTAAAAGTTTGATTGTGTCTCTTTTTTATAACTTCCATGTCTCTGCGTAATATACATAAAATTTCCTATTTGGAATATAATTATAATTACTGTTTTAATGTCCTATATTAATTCTGTCTTCTGTGTCATTTCTGGGTCAATTTCAAGTCATTGTTTTTTCTCGTTATATGGGTCATACTTTCCTACTTCTTTGCATGCCTGGTAATTTTTCATAGAATGTTAGAAACGGCATTTTGGATGCTACATATTTCTTTTTTGTTCCTGTAAGTATTCCTGAGCTTTGTTCTGGGATGCATTTAAGTTACTTGGAAATATTTTGATCTTTTGGAGACTAGCTTTTATTGTTAGGTGGGATCAGAGCAGTGTTCAATCTAGAGAAAATTTTGCCCCATTCATGAGGCAAAACCACTCTGAGTATTTTACAGTACCCCATGACTCCTGAGGTTTTCTGTTCTAGCTATTGAGATTAGGAACTATTTCTGGTCCTCTGTGAGCTCTGATGATTTATACCTCTAATTATTTTGGATGGTTCTTTCCCCAGTTTCGGGTACTTTATTAGTACCTATTACCATGTAACAAATTATCCCGCAACTTACTGAATTAAAAGAACGAACACTTATTATCTCTCAGTTTCTGTGGGTCAGAAATTTGAGCATGGCTTAGCTGGATGTCTTTGGCTTAAGTTCTCTCATGAGGTTGCAGCTCTCTGCCAGGGTTGTGGTCTCATCCGAAGCCTCAGTTGGGAGGGAGCCACTTCCGAGCCCACTCACATGGCTATTTGCAAGCCTTAGTCCCTCGCCTCACGGAGGTCTCTGCAGGGTTGTTTTATGACATGGCAGCTTGCTTCCCCCTGCAGGAGTGAGAGAGAGCAACAGAGTGTGCCCAAGGTTGAAGCTACAATCTTTTAAACCTAATCCTAAGTGACATCCCATCACTTCTTCTGTAGTCTATGTGTTAGAATCAAGTCCAACCCACACTTAATGGGAGGATATTGCACAATGTGTGAATACCAGGAGGTATGGGGATCGTTGGGGACCATCTTAGAGGCTGTCTACCATTGGTGGTTTCCTGACATCGTACATGTCAGCTCAGTACTCAGCTGAGACTGAAGGGGAAGCCCTGGAATATCTTCAAAGTTCTCTCGTAGCTCCCTCCTTCCTGGTACCCTGCTCTGTGAACTCAACTGCTTTGTTCTCTCTGGGAGTCTCAATTCTATCTTATCAATTCAAAGAGATTACTGGTTTTCCCTTCCCTGCACTGCATCCCAGAAAATCTCCAGGCATAAGCTAGGGCAATAAATAGGGCGCACCCCTTTATTTTCTATGTTTCAGGGATCATTGTTCTTTGTGGCCTGTGGGCCAATGTCTTGAAAACAATTTTTCCATACTTTTAGCATGATATTTTAGTAGCTTCAGGTGGGAGAGTAAATCTAATCTGTGTTAGTTCATTTGGCTGGAACCAGAGGTCTAGATCTCTATTTCTTTCTTTTTTTTTTTTAAAGATTTTTATTGGGGAATTGGGGGAAAGGGGAACAGACAAGTTACTGTTCTTTTGTTCTTCAGTCTAGTTGTGGAGGACGTTGCTTCACTGGCCCAAGTTGGCACCATCATTGCGCTCTTCCCAGACGAGGCAGAACAATCGCCGGCTTCTGGACGGCCGCTCACTGTTGCTGCTGGCCGCTCATGCTGGCTGCTGGCTACACACAGTAGCCCATGGCAACCCACTGCAGCAGTGGCTGCAGCCTACGCCGTCACCGGCGACTCACGTCAGCCCAGCTCCAGGTTGAGCTGTTGTTACGCATCTTAGCTTTAGAGGGCAGTGTCACTGGTCCTCATATGTGGGATCCAAACCGGGGTCCTCTGGCGTCCCAAGCCAGCTCTTAAAGAACGCGCCACTCGGCCAGCCCCATCCACTTATCTTTAATTGCTGGCCTACCCCCAGATGCAGTTTGAAAGCCCAGATAAATGTGATCTGCTAAAAGACATGAGCCTTGGAATCAGGTAGACCTGAGTTCAAATCCAACCTTCAGCCCTTGCCTGGGTGACTTAAACTCTCTGCTGCTCACTTTATCTCTTAAATGAGGCCAATGACACTTGTCTGGATGTAATGGATGTCATGGCTCCAGCTCAGGGGCTGACACAGAGGGACAATATGTGGACAGAAGTCACAGTGTTTTCCTTAATTTCCCCCGTGCACCAGACTAGCTAGGCAGATAACTATGAACAACTCCAAATGCCACCACCACAACCCTCACATATGCAAAGACCCATTAATGTGTTTTCCTGTGCTTTCTCTAACAGAACCTCCTACTGTGGAGAGATTTAAGAAATTCCGGATAAAGTCATATCCTGTCCAGGACTTTAGCTCTCTGAAACTTCTGCGTCTCCAGAAAGCCTGGGAGCAACAGGGGACCAGCTTCAACAGGAAGATTAATACCTCAGAAAACAGTCTCCCAAGGACCCTGAGCTCAAAGATCAAGTAAGCTGAGCTCTTGGCAGATAGAAGGGCCCATATTCTGGTTGAAAAGAGTGACATAATGTAAAGGGTAGAAAGTCAAGGATGCCGGGAAGGGGGCAGAGGTAGCAGGCACAGCTCCATCCCCAAAAGTTGGGGCATGTGGGGAAGGCAGCCTAGAGAGGTGTTAAGTTTGATATCCAGGGGGTAGATTGTCTACCTCTCACTTACAGGACTACTTCCTTTCTCAGGGAACCCATTTGAGAAAGAAGGGCAGGACAGATCTTCCAGCTCTGATACCCTGTGTGTCACCGGGCCTTTTTGACTCTGAGCCTCCTCAGAAAACTCTACCCATCTAAGGGAGGCAGCACATAAAAGCCTGGGCTTTCAAACCCTGGCTTGGCCACTTGTTTTAGCTCTGTGTCCCTAAGCGAGGGATTTGACCTCTGTAGGCCTTCATTTCCTTGTCTGTAGATAATAGTATCTAAGTCTCGAGGTTGTCGCAAACCAACAATTAAATGCAATAATAACCACAGCTAACACTTATGGAATACTGTGCCTGGTACTGAATTATCTAATTTAATTCTCACAAACACCCTATGAGGTAAGCGTAAGTACTATGATTATCACTCCCATTTTCCGGGTGAGAAAACCAAGGTACAGAGAGAGACTATTACTTGTTTGAGGTCACACAGGTAGGAAGTGGCAGCCAGGATTCAAGCCCAAGCAGCTTGTCAGTGCTCAGTCTTGTTATCTGGGAACAAGGTGGTGCACAACGAGAGCTGCATTTTTGCTTCAGCCCAGAGAGGCTGAATAGCAGGAAAGGACACTCCGTGGGCACCGGCCTGCAGGCAACCCAAGGCTGGGCCCAGAGCAATATAACAGCCTCATCCCCCATTAAGTCTGAAATAAAAAGATCACAGTGATACTAATAATGGCATCAGTGACACAATCTCCATATTGCCATAGCGCCACTTCCCTAGTCCTTTGCCTACGAACATTTCTGGCCTGCTCACCTCCATAATGAGCATTCCATAACTTCTGAGTTGAGGGCCAGCCGAATGGCTCAGTTGGTTAAGAGCTCGCTCAAGAGTTTGAGCTCTGAGCAACAGTGGTTCGAGGCCAGCCCGAGCTGAGCAACCGCTAAGCTGCCAATAGGTAGCAGGATGGCTCAGCTAAAAAAAAAAAAAAAAAAGCTTCTGCATAACTTCTGAGTTGTTTTTTCCTCAGGTGGATATTCTTTCCAAGGGATCCAGGGCTTGAAATCCCAATCCCCATTCTTCTGTAGTTAGAGATGAAACAGACCCAGTTTCTCTGCTATAAGTCAATAGGGAAAAGGGACCGGTTAGATCCAGAAGTGAAAAATAAAGGACCTGTTGGGCATGTGCCACTGACGTACATGTCCTGGGTGGAGATGGGGAGTGGGGGCGAGAATAGAAGCCTGCCTTATTTATGTGTTGGGTGAGCTCAGCTATAGTCTCAGCTGATAAACAATCTCCCCCCTGCTTCCAATCCAAATGGCATAGGCTGTCTCTTCCTTCTCGCTAGTCTGAGACCAAAGGAAGCACAACAGCATTGCCTGTGTAAAATCAGCCCCAACATGAACAAAGTACAGTCTCCAGGCCACCCAAGTAAACCTATCTTTGTAAATAAACAAAAAACAAAGCCATTTCTAATCTGCCTTCTTGTCAAAAAGAGCCCCAGGGGCAGCCGGTTTGCTCAGGCGGTTAGAGCACAGGCTCATAACACTAAGGTGGTCAGTTCAATTCCCATATGGGCCAAGGAGCTGTGCCCTCCATAACTAGACAGAAACAACTACTTGACTTGGAGCTGATAGGTCCTGAAAAAACATACTGTTCCCCAATAACATTTCTAAAAAAAGAAGAGCCCCAGCTTCTATTGTGTCCCCAGGGGCACAGAGCTTGCTCTCTGTCAGTCTGCTCCATTTTCGGACAGCTCTGACTTAGAAATTCTTTCCTCATGATGAGCATAAATTAGCCAGCCTGGAATTCTCACCCAGCGCCCCTTGCTCAGCTGTGTGAGATTGTCACCCGCTTCTTCCATATAAAAGCCTTCAGGTGTTTAAAGAGGTCCTATCTTCTCCTGTTCCAAGTCTGCCCCCTTTAAACTTCTCCAGTTCCTGACACAGTCAGTCTCTCCGAGTGCTCGATTTTGTTTCCCTGCCTTCTGGGAGAAGGGCGGGGGAGATCTCCAAATGCGGTAGAGTTGGGGCTGATTATCCATGGCCTCACGAACTGGCTGTGTTACAAATGAGTTCTTTTTTAACAAGCTGTCACATTTCAGATCTAGGTGTCCTCGTTTGATCGAGTGTCCCATGATCAATACCAAGTATGGTGATCTCCCCGAGGAGGCTGCAGTGGGTACCTATATCAAGATCCACACTGTGGAGGAAGGAGAAGCCATTGTAAGTGTGTAGGGAGCCTCGTTTGCAATATAGTGTGTAACATGATGAGTGGGGAGAATTAAGTAATGAGAACAAATGTTTAAAAGCACTGAACTTTATGTGGTGATAGTAAGGAATATTATTGATTTATTTTTTTAGATATGATAATTTAAAATTATATTGTGGTTATCTTTTTTAAGAGTCTTTATATTTAGGACATACATGTCAAACTATTTACAGATAAAATGATATGCCATCTGAGACTTGCTTTAAAATAATTCAGGAACAAGGCAAGGATTTCCTCTCACCTCTCCTATTCAACATTGTACTAGAAGTCCTAGCTAGTGCACTGAAATAAGAAGAGGAAATAAAATGTATGCAGATTGGAAAGGAAAAATAAAGCTGCCTTTGTTTACAGATGACGTGATTGTGTAAATAATTCCAATAAATAAAAACAAAAACAAAAAAACCTCCTGATTATAGCAAGGTCACAGGGATAAGGCAATGAACAATTGGAATTTGAACTTAAAAACACAATACCATTTACAATAGCACCAACAAATAAAATACTTAAGTATAAAGCTAACAAAATATGTTCAGGATCCATATTCAGAAACTATTAATTATAATGAAAGAATTCAAAGATTTAAATAAATGGAGAAATATTCTGTGTTCATGGATTGTATGGTTCCAATTCTATGACATTCTGGAAGAGGCAAAACTGTAGAGATAGCAAAATGATCAGTGGTCGCCAGAGGTTTGGAGTTCAGGGGAAGGGATGAATAGGTAAAACACACAGCATTTTTTAGGACAGTAAAATTATTGTGTATGATAATGTAACGGTGGTTTAAAAACTTGAAGCATTTGTCAAAACTCATAGAACGTTACAGCACAAGCGTGAACCTTAATGTATGTAATTTGTAAAAATGAAAAAAAAAATCATCTGGAAGTCAGGGGGGTCCCAGGAAGGAATGCATACTATTGGGTCTTCGGAAAAGTCATGATGTATTTTGTCTTATGTTTTTCAAAGGTCATTTATTTATATAAAGAACAAAGATCAATCAATGATATATTGCCCATTTTGTTCGATAACCTTTTGCCATCTTTTAGTGAGCTTCGTATTTCCTCGTTTATAGAAGGACCTGTCTTTATTAGCAAAAAACTGAACAAGGCGCTGATTTACAGCCTCATCTGAATTGAACTTTATACCATGCAAAGGAGTTTTGAAGAGAGCGAAACAAGTGGAAGTCTGACGGTGCAAGGTCAGGCGAGTATGGTGGGTGTGGCAACACATCCCATCCAAGCTCCAGTAATTTTTTACAGGTGATCAAACTTGTGTGTGGTCTTGCATTGTCATGATGGAACACAACTCCTTAACAATTAATGAGCTCTGGACATTTCTGGATGATGAATTCATTCAAACTGTCCAATTGCCAACAGTACACATTCGAATTGATTGCTTGTTTCCTTGGTGGGAGCTCGAAAAGCATGACACCTTTAAAATCCCACCACACTGACAGCATAACCTTCCTCTGATGAATGTCTGCTTTCAATGATATTTGAGGTAAATCATCACGTTGGGACCAAGACCGTTTGCACACCACATTGTTGTAAACAATCCATTTCTCATCACCAGTTATCAGTCGCTTCAAAAAAGGATTGTTTTCCTCACGTTTAATGAGCATATTGCAGATGTTTATACACGCCATCAAATGAACTTCTTTTGAGTTCATGCGGAACCCAAATATAGAGCTTGCTTATGTATCCCAGCTTCTTCAGGTGGTCATGAACGCTTGAATGATGGATGTTCAATGTTTCTGCAGTCTCTCATGTTGTGTAACATGGGTTTGACTTGATCAATGCCTTTGTTTTATCATCATCAACCTTAGTGGGCCTCCCTGACAGAGGAGCGTCGTTGAGATCAAAATCACCAGCATGGAATTTTGTGAACCATTGTTGGCACTGATGTTCTTGTAGGCCATTGTTACTATAAACTTTATGCAACTTTTCACAAGCTTGACACGCATTCTTTCCTTTATGGAAGTAAAACTGTAAAATATGGTGAAAATGCACAGTTTGGTCTTCCATCTTCAACATATTGTAAAATCTCCAAAACTCAACCAAATTGCTCAATTTTTTTTTTTAGAATGAAGCTAGAACTGTCAGCTGTCAAATGACATAGCAATAACATAGATGTGAATGACTCTAATACTTTCAGAAATAAACAAGCGCCATCTGTTGCAAACATGCATTATGACTTTTCCGAAGACCCAATATGGCAGGAGAATCTAAGGATACTACAGATGTGTGAAACAACTTCAGTGAAGGGGGTGGGAGAAAAATATGCTGACCTAATTATTTGGAGATGACGTGTCTGTAAGAGTAAAAGCAAAAGGAACTGCACACAAGCATTGTACTCTAGTTGATAAAGTTGTTTCCTATGGATGCATGGATTAACAATTCTGATACTGTTATACCTGTATACTGAAATCAATTAAGCAAATGAATGGCAGATGGTAGGAGCCAAGTTTCTCACCATTGGAGTGGAAATTTACAGGTAAGCAAGGGCAGGAGGCTAGAATGATCTTTGTGGTAATGGATCAATAAGCACTCATATTTAGCTTAATATTGATACAGATGGTTACATATAGAAATAATTATAAATATATATATGTATAAACATATATGTTTTGCTCTGTCATAAAAGATACATGTTTATATAGATGTATTTGACACTCCTATAGCATTGAGCACAGCAAGAACCCAGATCTTGGTTTCTAATAAAAGCAACAAGGCCTCCTTGGGAAATGGTTGATTCTAGGACTAAGGCAAGAAATAGACAAGATGAGCCTGGAGTAGTTTGTAGTGCCAGGAAATAAGGAAGTGTTGGTGGAAAAAATAAATTACAGTGAGGCAACCTGAGAAACACTACCACAGTCAGGTGATCAATGCCAATATCAGCAGTAATAAATCATGTTGATAGTATGTCCCCTTGACATGATACGATCAAAATAGGATATGTGATGAAAATGGCACTTTATCTCTGTGGTCCTCTTCCCGATAACCCATAACCCCAGTCTAATCATGAGAAAAAAATCAGACATTCTAACAGTGGGGCATCCTGCAAAATACCTGCAAACCTGTCAAGGTCACCATAAACAAGGTGAGCCTGAAAAACTGCCACAGCCCAGAGGAGCCTAAAGGGCCATGACAATGTAATGTAATGTGTATCCTGGATAGGATTGTGGATCAGAAAAAGGACATTAGGTAAAAACAGGAACTCTAACTCATTGGCTTCAGTTAATAAGGTATCAATACTCATTCATTAATTATAAGGTATGCTAATGTAAGATGTTAATAATGGGAAATTGAGTGCAGGCTATATGGGAACTCTGTAGTATCTTCTCAATTTTTCTGCAAGTCTAAAAAATATAGCCTATTAAAAAATAATTATCCAATAGTGGCTGGGACGTATGGATGAAACAAGTGTGGCAGTGAGTTGATTGTTGTAGGAGCTGAGTATTGGTGCTGGAGCTGGGTGGCAGGGTAAGCAGCATGGAGAGGGCATGAGGGCTTTCTGGAGAGCAGCCGTGGGCCTCCGTCTACCTGGGGAGGGCTGTCTTCTGGTCATCGTAGTCAGGGAAGCTGCTCCTTTGACATGCCCTTTCCACTGTTTCTCAGGCACATTCCAGTGTCTCCAGGGGCCTCTTACGCCCCCCACCCTGTGTTGTGTTGGGCTCTTAATGTTCCTGCCCTGCTGGACTGTGTGTCTTTGAGGGCAGGAAGGTCAGCCCAGTATTGTCTGGGAGCCCCAGGCCCTAGCATGGCCCTTGGTCAGTCAATGCCAGTGGAATATTTTTGAGCTCTTGGGAAGCATTTCCTTTTCTTCAGTAAAACTTTGCCTTCTGAAACTTTTAACTAGTTCCTCTCCCCGCCCTACCCACTCCCCAAGAACAACATGGAAGAATCAGCTTCCATGCCGTGTGGTGGCCCCTAGGTATTTAAAGAATGCTGTTTTGTTTTTCATTGAGCATTTATGGAGCCGGGCACAGTGCCAATGCCCTGTTACTTATTTTCTTATTCAGGCAAAACATCCTCCATTCTTTCAGTCAGTTCTCATGTGATGTAGTTTCCAGCCTTCTCACTGCCCACTTCACTGCAGCACATCAGTGTTTCCGCGTGAGGTGCCCAGGACTGAATACAGGTCACCAGAGGCCAGGTGCCTGGGCCCATGAATGCAGCCTGGCACATTGCAAGGTGGAGGGGCTTAGCACCCTGGGCAGAATGGAGGCACCAGAGGGCAGGCAAAACTAGGCATTGCCCAGTTTTGTAGATGGTGAGAGGAGCAGGAGGCTGTGTAAGATGGAACAAGAACCACAGGACTCATACAGTAGAGGGCCTGCAAATGTTGGAATAGGAACTTTGTTTTTTTAAAGATTTTATTGGGGAATTGGGGGAGGGAAACAGACAAGTTGTTGTTCTTTTGTTCTTCAGTCTAGTTGTGGAGGACGTTGCTTCACTGGCCTATGTTGGTATTATCATTGCACTCTTCCCAGGTGAGGGCAGATCGGTCGCCGGCCTCTGGATGGCTGCTCATGGTGGCTCAGCATAAGCTACCGGCCGCTCACATTGGCTGCCAGCCACTCAACGGTAGCTCATGGCAGCCCACTGCAGCTTCACTGCAGCCTATGCTGTCGCCGGTGACTCACGGCAGCCCAGCTCCAGGTCAAGCTGTTGTTCACCATCTTAGCTGTAGAGGGCGCAACATCACTGGCCCTCATGTGGGATCTGAACCGGGGCCCTGCTTCTCAGAGCTGGCGTCCCAAGCCAACTCTTAACCAATGCGCCACTTGGCCGACCCAGAATAGGGACTTTGGACTTGATTCTGTAGGAAAACCTGCCAGGCTTTGGGTGGGGCTCAGAGCAAGGACCCAACTGCCTCATTCACCACACAGGGCCCAGTACATAGAAGGCCCCACACAAATATTTGTTAACATGACAGTTTTTAAATGGTTGTGGAT